TGCTTGGGGGGGGGCATCCTCTGGGGGGAGGGGAATGGATGTGGGGGGATATTTCTGACCCCCCCACTTTGGTGTCCTGCAGGACGGGGGAGGCCTGGCGCTCAGACCGCCTGATGCTGAACAAGGAGGTGCTGTCACCGCAGGCGGTGGAGGGTTTCATCCCCCTGCTGAGCAAGGTGGGCGAGGACTTTGTCCGGCGGGCACAAGCCCAGGTGGGGAGTAGCGGCCGGGACTGCTGGACAGCCGACTTCACCCATGAGCTCTTCCGCTTTGCCCTGGAGTGTGAGTGTCAGGGGCATGGGTTGGTGCGTGTCCCCCCCCGAAAGACCCCTTTGCAGGGTACCTGAGACGCGTTTCCCCCAGTTTCACCCTCAGAGGTGGGCAGACAAGATTCTCCCCCCAAGCTGTAGGGTCTAGAGGAATGTCCTCTCTCCGGACAAGTAAAGAACAACACAGCACTGTTGATAAAACACTGTTTTATCACCTACCGGTCATTGGCTGGTAGCCAACCCTCCCCAACGAGGGATGCCTCCAGGGCCCTGTGATGCTCAGAGCAAGAAGGAGGCCAAGCCAGGTCCCCATAGCCATGGAAAGGCTGGGGTTGGTGATGGGAGGGTGGAGGGGATGGGGAGGAGGTCCCCTCCGGCCAGGGTCCCTCACGGGTGCTGTGCTCACAGCCGTGTGCCACGTGCTGTATGGGGAGCGGCTGGGGCTGCTGCAGGACTTCGTGGACCCCGAGGCACAGCGCTTCATCGACGCCGTGACCCTGATGTTCCACACCACCTCTCCCATGCTCTACCTGCCGCCTGCCCTCCTCCGCCACCTCAACGCCAAGACGTGGCAGGACCATGTCAGAGCTTGGGATGCCATCTTCACCCAGGGTGAGCGCTCCTCCTGCCCGCCCCTCCCTGTGTCACCCAAAGTCCCTTTGAGGACTCGGCTTCATAGCGCAGCCCCATCTCACCAGTGTGGAGACCTTCTCCTGGGTCCAACCACCCAGCATGGGGCCACCAAGGCCAGGAAGGCTTTCCACATCTGAAGCCTGTGGGATGGAGCAGTGGGGAACCATCCAGGAACGATGAAGGGCAGATGATGGGCATCGCGTTTAGGGGGAGCAGCTCTCCCAGAGGGGCTTGTGGCCTCAGAGAGCTTTTGGCACCCTCCTGCAGGGTGTTGTCCCCCTGGAGCACCCTGACTCCCCACCCTCTGTGCCCACTGCTGGGTCCCACAGCAGGGACCACGGTCCCCAGGCTGCTGCAGGGACAACCGTGATGGAAAATCCATCAGCATGGCGCAGTCATGTCCTAAGGTGCCACATCTGGTACCTTCCTCCTCCACCATGGCCCCGGGGGAGGAAGGCCATGCTGTGTCTCCGTGTCTCCTCAGCGGACAAATGCATACAAAATGTCTACCGGGACCTGCGGCTGCAACGCAAGAGCACCAAGGAGTACATGGGCATCCTCTGCAGCCTCATTGTGCAGGACAAGCTGCCCTTGGATGACATCAGGGCCAGCATCACCGAGATGATGGCGGGCGGGGTGGACACGGTAAGGGGCAGGCAGGGTCGTCGGGCAGGGGGGAGGTCCTGGCTGGTGTTGAGCCTCGCTCTCCTGCCCCTCTCTAGACCTCCATGACGCTGCAGTGGGCCATGTTCGAGCTGGCGCGGTCCCCGGGGATCCAGGAGCAGCTGCGGGCGGAGGTCCTGGCTGCCAAGCGGGAAGCGGAGGGGGACAGGGTGAAGATGCTGAAAAACATCCGGTTGCTCAAAGCTGCCATCAAGGAGACGCTCAGGTGAGGAGGAACCCTCGCTTAAAAGCACCTCCAGCCCCTTCCCTCCCCAAACCTCTGGCACTGCTGGGATGTAGTGCACCGAGGTGGGACGTGGGTGGGCCAGGCTGTTTCCAAAACTCAGGAGCGTTGGACCTGTCCCCCCCCAGGCTGCACCCTGTGGCGGTGACCCTGCAGAGGTACACCACACAAGAGGTCATCCTCCAGGACTACCGCATCCCCCCCAAGGTCAGCATGGCTGCCGGGACCCTCCTCACCCTGACCCGCTTCACACGGGGCTCTGGGTGGAGGTGGGACCTGGTGCATGGGGGGGTGACAGGGCGGGGAGCAGCTGTGGGGCTCATCTGGGGCTGGATCCCAGCCCTGCACCCCCTTCTCGCACCTTGAGTGCTGGCGAGGCCCTGTGGGGAGCCCAGACCCACAGGGCTGAACCTTCCCCGCAGACACTGGTACAAGTCGGTCTCTACGCCATGGGCCGGGATGCCGAGGTCTTCCCCAAGCCGGAGCAGTTTAGCCCCCAGCGCTGGCTGGCAGCCGGCCCCAAGCACTTCAAGGGGCTGGGTTTTGGTTTTGGACCCCGCCAGTGCCTGGGGCGCCGGATCGCTGAGCTGGAGATGCAGCTCTTCCTCATGCACGTGAGCATCCTGCTGCTGGGGGCACCAGGGACTTGGTGCTGGAAGGAACCGGGGAGGTGGCACCTGGGTGTTGGTACCTCCAGCGTTTTCCATCCACTCTTTTCCCCTCCTTCCCAGATCCTGGAGAACTTCAAGATTGAAACCATGAGAGCGGTGGAAGTCGGGACAAAGTTCGATCTCATCCTGATCCCAGACAAACCCATCTACCTGACCTTACGGCCACTCGAGTCCCGGGCGTGAGGAGCCCGATCCTGGGTGACGCCCAGCCGGCCCGGGACAGCAGGCGCTTTTGGCTCCTTACAGCCAGGCTGCAGCACGGGGCTGTGATTTGGGGGACGGCCGGGATGCTTTCATGGCCACAGCCTTGGCTTGGTGCATCCCTGCCTTCACTCCAGCCTGCTCAAGGCTGTGCTTACGCCACGGGGGAGATAAACCCGGAGTTTCCCCAGCTCTGCCGCTGCCCCTGGAACCCCCAAGGAAGTGTGAGGGGGGTGGGTGTTGCTGCACTCCTCTGACTGCTTGAGGGTCCCCAGGGACCAGGCTGGGGCCCGCGGCCATGCCCACCTGACACCCCCTAATGTTTTGCTTCGCCTTAAATTTGCTCTGTAATTTCATCATGTGAAAAAGCACCAGCTCCTTTTCACCAGCATTAGGTTTCTCTGTCTCTCTCGCCGGGCACGGGCTGGGGCAGGGGGGCCAGGGCCCGGGGTCTTCTCAAGGGGGGGATCACTGGCAGGTTCTGGTGGGGAACAAGAAAAGGTCTCAGGGAGCTGTAAATCAGCTCTGGGTTTGGGGGGGAGGTGGTATCTGGGATGCTGGGGGGGGGGGCGCCGTGCATTTTTTTTCCTGGTCCCCGTCGGGTGCTCACCGAGGTGGGAGCGTGGGGGAAGCTGTGCTCCCGCTCCAGCAGACGAGTGCCCAGCTCCTGCTTCTCGCGTCCCCACCTCCTGGCCGCCTCCTCCAGCTGGGACAGACCCAAACCAGGCTGGTTCTCGCCAAAGCGGGGGCCCAGAGGTGCCCCCAGCCCAGCCTGGCACCCCAAGCCCCCCACCACTGAGCGGGGTGTGGGAGGGCGATGCCCACCTGCCTCTCCATCACCCACCCACGGGCTTGTGCCTCCTCCAGCCTGGCCAGCAAAGACAGCTTCTCCGCACCCCCAAAAACACCCTGTGGGCCATGAGATGAGCATAGGTGGGGAAAAGCAATGCCAGATTAGCCCCCCCCTTCCTACCCCCTGCTCACGATGGGGAGCAAGCCACAGGGGTGGCTATCGCCCCATGGAGCTGGAGATGCCACTGGGGTGATGCCCCCAGCATGCCTGGGCACTCCCCAGCATTGCTTTTTGGGGTGCCATGGCTCTGCCCCCCCATCCTCACTCTGCGCCCTCCTCCCCAGTCTCACCAGCAAGGCTAGGGGCCGCCGGGTGGGTGGCGAGGGGTGGAGGGGCCTCGCCAGCTCCTCCAGCAGGCTGCGGTTCTCGGCCAGCAGCATGGTATACACCTCCCCGGAGAGGGCTTCACCTGTGGGATGGGGCGGGGGGGCCACTGGGACGTGTCCTACACCCCCCCCAATGCAGAGATGGGGGCTAGGAGCAAGCCCTCGCCTCTCCCATACCCAGGGATGGGTGCTGGGGGGCTCAGGACCAGCTCTGATCCCCCACTGCAAACCGTCAGAAGGAGATGGCCACCAGCAGAGCCCAGCAGCTGTATGAGGGTCCCTGTCCCCACTTGCACCCACCCGCTGGCTTCTCAGGCCTCCTGCCCACCCCGGTGAGCTTCTCCTGCAGCACCTGCTCCATTGCCTTGATCACCTGCAGGAGAGAGCAGAGCCGTCCCCGTGTCACCAGGGCCCAGGGTGACACAAGGCTGCGGTGGCCATCACATCCCCTCCAGCACCAGGCAGTGCTCATGGAGGGCTGGAACAGGCCAAAGGCTCCCATCTTCTCACCCCAACCTCGTGCCCCGCAACTCACCTTCTCCTGCTGTCGCACCGTCTCCTCCAAGCCCTTCGTCTTGGCCACCTTCTCCTGGCACCTCCGCAGCGTGGCTTGCTGCTGCCAGTGGGCTCGCTGGAGCAGCACCAGTTCCTTCTCCCGGTCATTTTTCTGGGGGGGAGGAAGGGGAAAAGCCCCCAGGGACCTCCATGTCAATCCTTAAGCCTTTGGACATGGCTTGTAGGGCTGGGAGAGCCTTGTGGTGGGAGACCTGGGGCTCTCGGGCACTTGTTTGGCTATATGGGGGTGCCGTGATGCTCTCCCTGCTGCCCCCACCCTGTCCCTCAGGCAGCCCCTGCCCGCTCCTGCTGGTGTCCGTACCCGGATCAGCTCATTCTGCAGCTGCTGGACACGGTCCTTCAGCCTCCTCATCTCCGCCGTGCTGGCCACCAACTTGCGCTTGAGGGTGGCTGCAAGAGCCCATGTCACATCCTCGGCAGCTGGCCAGGGGATGGTGTGGTCTCCTCCGCTGCGCGAGGGAGAGGGGTCCCCTGATTGCCACCCCCCCGGCCCCTTCCTCATCACGCACCAAGCCTGTCCAGCAGTTCCTCCCGGGTCATGATGTCCAGGTCCCCGTCGGCGAGCAGAGCATGGCCCAGCTCCTCTTGCGAGGCCAGGCTATGCCGCAGGTGCCCGTTCTCCACCTCCAGGCTGGCGACATGCCGGCGCAGGGAGAGGAGGTCCCCCGCCATCTGCTTCAGCGCCAGGCGGTAGCTGCTCACCTCCTGCTAGCCCAAAGCAGAGCTGCTGGCACCCCATGGCCAGCCCGGGCTCTCCCCAGCACCAAGAGCTCAGCTGAGGATACTTGTCTTGAGGGTTAGACCCACCATGGAGGAGCTAAGGTACATCACTTCCTCTTGCAATCATCCACCCTTCTCTTCCCCATCCATCTTTCTCCAGCCATCTGTCTCTAGCCATCCATCCTTCTCTTGTCCATCCATCCATCCATCCATCCATCCATCCTTCTCTTCTCTGACCATCCATACTTCTCCCCCTCCAAACCTTCTTCTCTCCAACTGCCCACCTCTCTCTCCACCCCACAGACCTCCCCTCCCATTACCCCATCTCTTTCTACCATCCCCCCTGGCAGAAAAACCACTTGCCCAAGGATGTGGGGTGGAGCGGTGTCAGAGCTGGGGGGTCAACCTCAAGCTCTGAGCTTTACAGGGCTTTGCAGGTCTTTAGAAGGGAGGTGGTGAAGAATAAAGGAGGGATGAACAGTTTATGGAGGTGAGCCAGAGGGTTTTTTAGTACCCATGGGGCTGGGGAATGTCTTGCCAGGTGATGCTGGGGGGAAATAATGCCCTGAGGGCTTGCATCTTCTTAGGCTGGCCTCCGGAGTCCCTCCCTGCCGTGCTGGGCTGTGCAGAGGATCCCAGCAGTGGGGACCTTGGCCTGGGGGAGCCACGTGCCTCCAGCACCCCGCTGCCAGCCTTGGGAACGGCCTTGGCGGGGGGCCAGGGCACGGGGAGGGGATGCAGCAGCATCACCAGCCTTGGGGAAAGGGGGAAGGGGGGGGCAGGTGTTGTCAGAGGCTCCTTCCTCCCCATCTGCCCAAGAGCTGTCTCATCCAGGACACGGTTCATGCCCAAGATAAATTCAAGGGCTGCCCCCCTCCCCAGGACCTTCACTCATCGGCAGTGTAGAGCCAACAACAGCCTGGCTCCAGTCCCCATGGGGGCCAGGACCTAGCCTGGGGGCACTGCTGTCCCCCCCCGGTGCCCACATTGCCCCCCCACTCCTCTAGCCTCCCCAGCACTCACCGGCTCCTGGTGGTCCCCGATGATCTCCTGGGACCTTCAGAGCAGAGATTAGGGGACACCCTTGGCCAGCTGCCCCCGACAGAATGAAACACTGGCAAAGCCTTGGCTGGGCAACCCTCCGTAGGGGACAGGGGCCTATTTGGGGTGCTGGGGGGCAAGGCAAGTGCTGTTGGGGATAGGGATGCAGGGAGGGTGGGAGCCTGGAGGAAGTGAGGCAGAACGATTGGCAGTGATGGGGCAGAAGAAGCTGCTGGGGAAAACATGGGGACAATGCAGAAGGGAGGAGACCACCCCAAGGAGGATGAGAAGAAGGAGCCCAAGAGGGGGTTGCAGAACTGGTATGGCCCCCATACCTCTGCTCCTCCACCGGCGCTCCCATCCTGCGTGGGAACGGTTGCTCTCCAGGCAGGATGCTGGCCACAGCAGCAGCTGCCGGGAGGGACACATCATCTTGGTGGAGCTGGCAGGAGACATCGGAGCAGAGGGTGAGGATGAGGAGCAGGCCGGGGAAAGCCCTCTGAGAGGAGCAGCAAGCTCCTTCAGCCCCTTCCCCACAGCCAGGAGCAGCTCTCCTGGCTTTCACTGGGAACAAAACACCTTTGCCATTGTTGCTTTGGGGTCAGGATCCAGCCCTGCCCCAAAAAACCTCCGGCATCGCTGGCTGTGATGCTTCAAGCATCCCCCCTCGGGGCTTGGATGCAACATAGTGTGGCCACAGGGCTGGAAGACCTTTTCCTGGGGATGGGCACACTCGGGAACACCCGGCTTTGAGCATCACCTCATGGCTGGACCGTTGAGCCATGCGCCCTTGGGAGGAAACTTGGCTATGACCGAAAGCAACCCCAACCGGGTGCTGTCCCTGTAACAGGGACCTCTGGGTCCTCAGCTCATGTTGGTGACACCAGTGACAGGGTGGCTTCCCCGTCCCCACCCGCCACCCTCCGGCACTCACCGTGGAGGAGAAGGGTCTGTAGTACAGCGTCATCCCTGCTCCTGGGGTGCCCCACTCCACTGGCATCCCACTCCCAGCAGCCAGCCCTGCCCACCGGCGGGTTGCCAGGCTCTGCCTGCCCCAAACAAACTTCCCAGTGGCTCGGCCACCCCAGGCAAAAGTCCTGTCCCCACACTGCCACCCGAGCCGCTGGCCGGTGGACTTACAGACATGCCGGGCTGTTGCAACATGAGGAAAAGCTGGTTTTCCCAAGCCCTTTCTGCTGGCAGAGGGATTTAGGTGGCATGGGGGCTGCTGGCAGCCTGGCACGCTGTTGCTACAACACAACCCTCCTCTTAGCAACTCCTCCCTGCAGCAGCTCAGCACCTAAAACCACCTGGCTGCACCCTGGTGGGTGCCTTAGAGGTGCAGGCAGCTGGCTCTGCTGCTCCTCGCTCCAGCCACCCCCATCTCTTCCCCTTCAGCATCCCTCCAACCATTGCATCCCTCCAACCATTGCACATCCCGTTGGCATCCTACAGCTGCTTCCAAAGCTTTCAGGGGTGGCAGGCAGTGCCTACCTGCAAGGGCTTCCTT